CACTGTCTCTGATGGTCACATCCTCTTTCCCCACTCACTGCTCCCAGAGAAGCCCCAACCCTGGGATGCCCTGTGTCAGAGCCACCCAGGAGAAACTTTTAAACTGCAGATAGATGGATGGATGGATGGATGGATGGATGGATGGATGGATGATGGATGGATGATGGATGGATGGATGGATGGATGGATGGATGGATGGATGGATGGATGGATTTTGAGACATGTTACCCAGGCTAGACTGCGGTGGTGTGATCATAGCTCACTATAACCTTGAGCTCCTGGGCTCAAGCGATCCTCCCACCTCAGCCACTGAAGTAGTCAGGTCTACAGGCATGTGCCACCACACCTGGCTGATTTTTTAGTATTTTGTAGAGATGAGGTCTCTCTGTGTTTCCCAGGCTGGCCTCAAGCAATCCTCCTGTGTCGGCCTTGGAAATGCTGGGATTACAGGTGTGTGCCACCACTCCTGGCTTAAAGTGCTCATTTCTAGGCCTCTCCAGACCTCCTAAATCAGAACCTAAGGATAGACCCAGAAAACTTTCCACAAGTCTCCCAGTGGTTCTTATGCACCCTAAGGTTTGAGATTCTTCAGACCTACCTGGCTGACATATTTGTGTTAGAAACCATCTGTAATTTCATACTGATCAAGAAAGAAACTACCAGACAACCCAGTCTCCTAAGACGGGGTCAGGACAAAGCCCTTTCCAGATGTTTCTGCAGCTGTGTGATGCACAGGGGCTTCTGCTCGTCCATGTGGTTTGTGGACTATCTTGGCCTCTTTGACAGGAATCCACCGTCTCCTTCCCCTTTTCCGAGCTATAAATCTGGGTTAGTGATATTGCTCTTCTCTCTCTCGGTTGTGGTGACTATTGAGTGAGATTGCCAGGGATTTCTCACAATGGTCAGAACCCTAGGGATTACACAATCTACCCTGAACTTTGTAGATGAGGAAACTGAGGCCCAGGAGATACTTTCTTGGTCTGACACAGAGCAGCAGGAGGACTGGACCTAAAACCCTGACTTCCTGACACTCCACCACCCAGGTCGTCTCTTCTGTCTGAGAAAGCACCTTGAAAAGCATTCAGAAGTATGCAGACATACCTGGGATTAGCTGGGTATGCTATGAGCCTACGGTGCCAGAAGGTGTCTCAGACAGGTGTCCTCTGGGATCTAGGGCAGAGCCACCAATGGGGCATCTGCAGCCATCCCTCAATTTGAGTCCCACAGAAGCTCAGGTCACCTGTCTCTCCCTTTTCTATGCTGTTTCCCAGAATTTATTTACTATGAATCCCAGCAGGTACCAAGCCTTAGACTTGTACTGCCCCACCCCACAACAACCCTAGCTTCCTCACCACTGCTCCCTAAAATCAGACAGCAACAGGGTCTGTACGATATGCATTTCAGCATGAATTTCCATGTTCACTCCCACAATTCCCAAATGAGTCCAGCCCCAACTGATAAGCTATGGGCCAGATGGGTTCTAAGAGGATGAACCTAGCAGCGGCCACCTAGGTGATGGGAATCAGGAGACCGGGTGCTAAGGTTCAGAGTCAGGGTCAGGCATGGAAATGGAAAGTGGTTGTCCAGGATGAACAATTTGCCTCTCACAGTTTCTCAGGCTGTGGCCCTGACCTATATCTTCCCCTAATCTCTCCGTCCCTGGGACTCACCCAAGTGTAAGAGTTCTGTTCAATAAAAACAAATATATAAATGAGGCCAAATTGGACAGTTACTTGTGAACACATTAATATTCAGACAGTTACCAGTCATATGATGTGGAAATGTTATTGACCTGAGACTCTGTCGATTCTACTATTAGAAGTTGCCTTTACATATTTTTTAATTAATAAACCATGAAATATCTTATGTCAATAATGATTTAATTATACTTTTCTAAGAAAAAGCAATTTTAAACAAGGTTGACTTTTTTTTTATTAGGAATGTTTCCCAGGAGGTAAATGAAGTAAAAATATTCAGTTTTGAGAGAAACAAAATTCATATTACAAAAACAGGAAATCTAAAATGAACATCTACTTAAATTACACCATTCTGATCAAGAATGTTAATCTCTGACTATAACTTGGAGCAGAGTAAGAGCTCATTTAGGCCTCTCTCAGGTGTTAGCAAAACTCATATTTCTTCCTTGAGAATTCTTAAGTTTTGCAAAAGCCTGAAGCAGCTGGGAATCATCCACCGGCCTTTCCTCAGATAGCTGTCCAGTGCTTGAGAATCCCAGTTGTTTATCTCACTCATTTTTTTTGTTTGCCAGTATTTTATTGAAACAGTAGTTCAAGTAAGGTCCAGGAGCCAACTTCTTGCATCAGAGTTACCAGGATTCTTGTTTAAAATGCAGATTCCTGTACCCCACACCTAACCTACTGGAGGGAGATCTTGACTGGGGCTTGGTGCCTGGGAATCTGCATGTTAGTAATTTTTCACAGGGTTATTGTACACTGTGTCCATTGAGAGACACTACTTTGACATATGTAGCTGGTGAATCTGACTGTAATCAGAGATTTGAAAAGAGAAAAGCCACAGATAGAAAAGCAAAGAGGGCCAGGTGCGGTGGCTCACGCCTGTAATCCCAGCATTTTGGGAGGCTGAGGCAGGTGGATCACCTAAGGTCGGGAGTTGGAGTTGGAGACCAAGTTGGCCAACATGGCGAAACCCCATCTCTACTAAAAATACAAAAATTGGCCAGGTGTAGTGGCTCACGCCTGTAATGCCAGCCACTTAGGAGGCAGAGGCAGGATAATCGCTTGAAGCAAGGAGATAGAGTTGCAGTGAGCTGAGATCACGCCATTGCACTCCAGCCTGGGCGATAGAGCAAGACTCTGTCTCAAAAAAACAAAAGCAAATAAAAACAACAACAACAAAAAAAGAAAAAGAGAAGAGAAAGTCAGTAGCATGTAGATCGGGGTGTCCAATCCTTTGGCTTCTCTGGAAGAAGAATTGACTTGGGCCATACATAAAATACACTATCACTAAGGATAGCTGATGAGCTTAAAAAAAAAAAAATCACAGAAAAATATCATAATGTTTTAAGAAAGTTTACGAATTTTTTACGAATTTCTGTTGGGCCACATTCAAAGCTGTCCTGGGCCATATGTGGCCCATGGGCCATGGTTGGACCAGCTTGGTAGGTCCTACGGTTCTGTTAAGTAATCCTACAGCCACCCTAGGATTTACAAGCCTCATTTTTACAGCTGAAGAACCTGTGCAGAGAGTCGGCATGACATGGCCACAGTCACACCGCTGGGATACCTACAACCAGGATTTCAGTTCAGGACAAGCTGATTCCAGAGCCTTTGCTCTTGCTACTGCAGTAGAAGGGACATGGCCTGCCCTCAGGGAGTGGACAGTCCCGCTAGAGGGTCAGCTGAAATACACTAGGAATGGTTAAGGACTAGGGAGAGATCAAAGCATACAGTGCTGCTTGTAAGAACAGGAAAGACAAGAGAGGGCTTTTCCTTCCGGGGGCAGGGGGAGTTGTAAGTCCATGAGTGAAGGTAGAAATCAAGCCCATCAATTGTGGGGCCAGTGAGAAGAGAGCGCCGAGTGGGACACAGGTTTCGTGAAGGCAGCCAGCTGGCATTACTTGTCATTATACTGTAAGAGTTTTATCAACTGGCTACTGTCTAGCAAATGATACTAGAGAATAGATTTAAAAACAGCAACTTTTCTTTGGGGATAGAGGCAAACTAGTAAATGTAATTATTACTATTAATTGAAAGTCAGAGAACAAAGCAAAATGAGCTTTATTCAAATTCTGATGGAAAACCTAGCCCATGAGTAAATGTAGACTCCTTTCTCTTTCCAGTGCCATCCAAAATTGAAAACTACAGTGTTCCTTGGAGAATAAATGATAAAATAATGATTATTATTAGCAAGTAGAGAGCTAGCTACTTAACGAACAGAGCACACATTAGCAGATGCAAACAAGTGTCTCTTTCTCACACTCAAGATTGTTGCCTGTCCCACACCATGACATGGGCTGGCGCGGTCACAGGAGAAACAGAACCCACTGACCAAGGACTCATTTTAAGTGGTACACACACACAGAAAATAGCATTTAAGTACATTAAGTACAACCCTGCTTGTTATTTGTTCCAAGCAGAAAGAAGACTGGGTGCCCTTATTTAATAAATATATGTAGGAAATAGTCTGGAAGGATAGACACAAAGTTGTTGGTAAGCTGTTACCAGGAGCCAATAAGGTGTAAGTTTTTAAAATCCTTTTTAAAACAAAGGACAGTCATACACCACTTAATGCTGGGGTTTCGTTCTGAGAAATGTGTCCTTAGGTGATGTTGTCTTTGGGTGAATGTCAAAGAATGCACTTACACAAACCTAGATGGTTGTAGCCTACTACGCATCTAGGCTACACAGTATAGCCAATTGCTCCTAGACCACAAATTGTACAGCATGTGACTGTACTGAATACTATAGGCAATTGTAACACAATGGTCAGTCAGTATTTGTGTATACAAACATATCCAAACCTAGAAAAGGTACAGTAAAAATAGAGTATGATAATCTTATGGGACCACTGTGGCATATATGGCCCATCGTGGACTGAAATGCTGTCATGTAGCACATGATCGTACAGTATGCATATGGCAAAGTGCATGAGTCTGATGTGTACAGCTTGACGAACTTTTACACAGATACACTTCCATGGCCCTATCACCAAAATTGAGACGTAGAACACTCCCTACATACACAAGGTAGCTAAGGGATGCATGTTTTTCCTTTACTAAAGTTTTTTTCTCTCATGTATGTATTATTTGTCACAATGGACAGTATTGCTTTCGTAATTTTCTAAAATTACAAAAGTAATCTAACTGCATTAAGTTAAGAAAATAAAGACTGTGGGTCTTTCAGTTGCTAAGAATGCTGGAAGAGAATGCATTTTTAGTTTTAGGTAGATTCTATCATAGTTTCTTTAACTGATGAAGCCCCGTCCACATCACGTTGTCCCTTCCTCCTCCTCCTCCCTAGGGACTGCAGTACATGGAGCTCATCCCCAAGGAGAAGCAGCCAGTGACAGGCACGGAGGGCGCCTTTTACCGCCGCCGCCAGCTCATGCATCAGCTCCCCATCTATGACCAGGATCCCTCGCGCTGCCGTGGACTTTTGGAGAATGAGTTGAAACTGATGGAAGAATTTGTCAAGCAATATAAGAGCGAGGCCCTCGGCGTGGGAGAAGTGGCCCTCCCAGGGCAGGGTGGCTTGCCCAAGGAGGAGGGGAAGCAACAGGAAAAGCCAGAGGGGGCAGAGACCACTGCCGCTACTACCAACGGCAGCCTCAGTGACCCGTCCAAAGAAGTGGAATACGTAAGTTTCTCCCATGCTTCCAGCCAGGCTGAAACCATGCAGGCCCAGGGCTGGACCGTCAGGGCCCCATCACGGGACTTTGTTCCCTCATTCGTGCATTTATTCATGAATTTGTGCATTCAGCAGATATTGGTTACTCATTTACTCTGTGCCAGGCACGGGCCCATGGAAAATGATACAATACCACTGCCCTTGAAAGGCTCATAGTCCAGTGGAGGTCACAGACAAAACCGACACAGTTTAGAGAAGGGACATCTAAGCCTGCGTGGTGGTAAGGGTAAGCTTCAAGAAGTTGGTGAGGTACAAGCCGGTCTATAAAGAATGTCTAGGGGCCATCCAAGCCTTCAGGTTTTGAAGGGAGGATGTGTACCCCCTTAAAGAGGTGATCATTTGCAAAAAGAGCCAGGAGTTCAAGAAAGCACAGTGCATTTAGAGGATTAAAAGAAGTCCCACGTGATTGGAAGTGTGGCATGCTTGGAGAGCTGGGGACACGAGGCTGGGAAGGGCAGCAGAGGCTGAATTTCTGGAGGGTTCATTCCTTCCATCCATTCATCAGTCAAATACTGATTAGCTTGTATTAGCTGCTATGCCCCAGGAAATCAAACAAGCAGAGGACACTGTCCCCAAACTGCAGAATGCCATGAAGCTAGGACTTTATTCCAAAGGTCATGGACAGGCTTTTGGTCAGAGGTACATGGTCCATGCTGTGCTTGAAAAAGTTTCTTCTAGCAGTGTCTTAGTCCATTTTCTGTTACTTATAGCAGAATACCTGAAACTGGGTAATTCATAAAGAAAACGAATGTATTTCATACATATGTGGAGGCTGAGAAGTCCAAGGCCGAGGGGCTGCATCTGGTGAGGGCCTTCTTCCTGGTGAGCACTCTCTGCAGAGTCCCGAAGTGGCTCAGGGTATCACATGGCAAGGGGGCTGGGTGTGCTAACTCAGGTCTCTCTTCCTCTTCTTAGAAGCCAGTCCCACTAATGTGATAACCCATTAATCTATTAAGCCATGAGTGGATTAATCCATTCCTGAGGGCCTGAGCCCTCACGACCCAATCATCTCTTAAAGGTCCCACCTCTCAATACTGCCATGCAGAGGATTATGTTTCAACATGAGTTTTTGGAGGGGATATTCAACCCATAGGAAGTGGCAGTGTGGAAGAAGTGCTGTTGAGGAGTGAGCCACTGGGAGCCATTTTGAGAAAACAGAAAGGAGGAGCCAGCGCTGGGGAGATGAAACCTCACGGCTTGGTTTGTCTTAAACTACCCCACAGAAGGTGAAAGGAATGCTTGAGGCTAGTGTGCACTGCATTTCTGGTCCCCAGCCCCTGTTTTACCTTTTGCTCCCCCTGCCCCATCAACCAAGTGTCCTCATTTGTTTCTATGGCAATTAACTTTTGGAGATAGAAGTCCCAGCACACGAGATCCCCAAGCACATTATCTACCTTGCTGAACAGACTGGCAGTCACCCATGAGCCAGGCGACCCAGAGAAATGCCAGCCCAAACGAAGCTGCTGCCACATCCAGAGAGGGTTGTACTCTTTCTCCCTTGGAGTCACTCAAGCTAATCATCTAAAACTTGCATCTTCCATCTCCAAGCCCCATCTTATTAGCACCATCTGGGATTGCCATCCAAGGAAGTGTTTTATCTGAGGACTCTAAGACCAAAAAACAATTTATTTCCTCTACTACAGATTTGGCACTGATGCATAAAAGGCCCAGTTCTCAGGAAGAATACATGTCCTAGGGATGTAAAAAAGAAAAAAATACTAGATCTAGTTACCATGGTCTATAAACTGGTCTTCCCCGCCCCACCCTGATCCTGGCTTCTGTCCACCCTCAAATAGCTGTTTGTTCATAAACCCTAAATACTAGATAATTCCAAGTTGGAAGGAGACCTCTATGTCGTTGTAGTATTTCCAAATCGCCATTCCCAAGAGACGTGTGGATCTGACATCGTATTTTATTCTTGACTGAGCCTCGCATATTTGTTCAGCATTGAACAAAGGCAAAGGCAGCGCGAGAACCCGGGTCCTACAGTCAGTTTTAGGAAATAACTGTGACACTTGAGAAGCATTTAAATAGCAATACTAGACAGTAAATGGAAAAGGCCAAAGTCAGAAAATAAGTAGGGATTCCAAAGGAAGCCTTTATTGGTTGGACTGGGCTGGGCTAGCTGTGGGAGACAGACTTCTATGTCCCTGCCCCAACCACAATTTTAATTTAATTATTATGTAATTAGTGAATGAATGTCCGTCATCCTCTGTAGATGCTGAGGTCTTGTTCATCTCTTTATTTGCAGTGGCTGTCATTGATATACATAGCAGTTGCTCAATAAATATGTGACCCATGAGTGAAAGTTTGAACTTAAGTCTAAAAAATGGGATCTATTTGGATGGGCAATTTGCCTAGGGGGACGGCACGATTCCAATTCCACATTTATTAAGCCCCTACTCTGTGCCAAACACTATGCTCACACTGTCAGGGTCTATCTTTAATTCTCACAGTTGCCTGGTAGGGTGAATGTTACCAAACCCATTTTACAGGTGAGATTCAAAGATAATAGGTAACTTTTCTAAGATCCCATGGTTTCTATGGGGCAGAACCTGGATCCAATACCCTTTCTGTGATAAGATGCTAAGTTGTAAAACCCTGCTTGTTATTTGTTCCAGACAGGAAGAAGACTGTGTGCCCTTATTTAACTCCCTTTTCACCTCCTTGAAGCAGGGGAGTGAATCCTGATAAAGGTAGCTAGATAGGCTGACAGGCCACAGACAATGTGTTCCCAGCAACCCCGCCATTAGGAGTGGGTATGGGCTGCACTCCCTGACCCGTCTGCCTTGCCTCACCAGCATTCACATCAAGTGGACGTGTGTGCTGGCCGCCCTGTACGCTTGCGCCCTCTCCTTTCTCATAAAAGGGCAGCATAGAACAATTACCAGAGCCAAGCATCAGGCAGGAAGCCTGACTTCTGCTCCCCTGGTGAAGGGCAATGATTTTTGCAAGAAGTGGTCCAGGGATTCAACTTGAAAATAAAGGTGTGGGGAAGAAATTGTAGGACTCAGCCTGACACCCCAAAACTCCCATAAAACTTCATTTTATGGGAGAAAAATGAAGGGCAAAAAGAGAGACGTGAACATACGGGAACTGTAACACCTGCCTGTTTATCATCTTAATCGTGTTCATTGTGATTGTCGTTAGTGTCGGCAAGTCCGTGGGCATTGCCTGAACCAAGGACAGGACTAAGCAAGTATCTGATTTAAAGCTTACAACTGCCCCAATATGTGAAGTGGCTGTGCCTCCCCAGGCTGCTGGGCCTCAGAACTGGGATTCAAACTAACATCTGCCTAAAATCAAGTCTATGTTCTTTCCCATTTCCCAAAGCTTATTCCTAGGAGAGCTACCAGATATTTTGGACCATAAAAGGATCATGTGGCTGGCTCAGGAAACATTAGAGTGAACATGAAACTACAGCAGGAGTGAAATAAACTACATGGGTTTCTTTACAGAACTTCTCAGAGCCTTTAGTAGGCCAGTGCTGTGGTCCTTAAACTAAAGAAAGGCTTGTTAAACTCCAGAAGCCTGGGTCCCACTTCCAGAGCTTCTTAGTAGTAGGTGTTGGGTGGAGCCTTTGCATGTGCATTGCTAACAAGTCCTTGGGTGATGCTGGTCTGGGGCTACACTTTGAGGACTGCTGCTAACAGTGTTAAAAAGTGCCATAGCACTTTGGGAGGCTGAGATGGGCGGATCACGAGGTCAGGAGATCGAGACCATCCTGACTAACACGGTGAAACCCCGTCTCTACCAGAAAAAAATACAAAAAATTAGCTGGGCAAGGTGGCGGGCACTTGTAGTCCCAGCTACTTGGGAGGCTGAAGCAGGAGAATGGTGTAAACTTGGGAGGCGGAGCTTGCAGTGAGCTGAGATCTGGCCACTGCACTCCAGCCTGGGCAACAGAGCGAGACTCCATCTCAGGAAAAAAAAAAAAAAAAAAAAGTACCTTAGATGTGAGCTCAGCAGAAATGATATCACCAATTTGGCCTATAGTGAGAGTCTAGATGGTAACATGGGCATTTTCCAGATGTATTTGGCCTCCTGGCTCTATGTATGTATATATGTATGTATTTTGAGATGGAGTCTCACTCTGTCGCCCAGGCTGGAGTGCAGTGGCACGGTCTTGGCTCACTGCAAGCTCCGCCTCCCAGGTTCACGCCATTCTCCTGCCTCAACCTCCCGAGTAGCTGGAACTACAGGCACCTGCCACCATGCCCAGATAATTTTTTGTATTTCTAGTAGAGACGGGGTTTCACCATGTTAGCCAGGATGGTCTCGATCTCCTGACCTTGTGATCCACCTGCCTTGGCCTCCCAAAGTTATGTATGTATTTATTTATGTGGGATGGGGGGTGGGTTACTCCAAGCGAGCCCACCTTTGAGAATGCTGCATAACCCTTCCTGTTGCTGGAGAGTTCTGGAAGCACAGGTGCAGAATCTACCACACTATGCTCTGTACCCTATCTTGATGGCCCCCATCCCTGATGACACTAACTCTCTGCAATCTGAGGCCAGGGCCCCACTTTCCACTACACCCACCCCCTGACACACACCAGCTGTGAGCTTCCTCGGCTCCCTCCCACCTTGTCCACCTGCTGGGGGACGTCCTTCCTCTGAGTCCTTGGGAGAGGGCCTATCGGAGCGATAGCAGGGTCAGCCTGCCAAGTCCTCCCACCAAGCCCCCCAACCCAACCGTCCCCATTGGAAAATAATGTCCACACCAGAGGAGCGTTATTGCCAAAATGCCTGTGGGGAATTCCTACTAAGGGGCCATGTTCTGAGTCAGCCCAGATAACAGTGGTGGCCAGGTTGCAGGATGCACTGCCGTCTGGGCCCAGCCCACCTGCATGACCGGACTGTCAGTTACATGATCTGAACACAGTGAGCAGATTCTGACCCCAACCCCAGCTTCCCAACCCCAGGCCAGCAGACGGGCCCTACTGACAG